CTCTGACCGAGTACCTCCACCAAGCGATACTCCTGCAGACCCCACTTCCAGCGATGCAGCTGCGCCAAGGTCTCACCATCCTCCACCCACCCTGGACCCAAGACCAGGCTCCAGCTCCCAGTGGGTAGACCTCTCCTCCAGAGTGTAACAGGAACAAGCTCTTACAAGAGCTTGGTGATTATACTCTGGGGAGTATAGTGATTATAGCAATCCCCCAGAGTGCAGTTCTCAAATACCCCAAACATGAGCCAAGACTCCATGAAGGTACAAGATAATCTGAAGGTTTAATGGCTCAGGTTACAATTCCTGGGGCCTGGACCTGATGGAACACTGCATTACCAACTGTACAGACTAATAATGATGATGCAATAACTTCCAGCACAATCCCTCCCCTCTGCCTGTGATATAAGTAAAGTAGAGAATATAATAACCTAATTATCCACAGGCAGAAAAACACACATTTCCCCTCCAAAGTACAGAAAACACCCCATAACACATCCTCACGATCACATGGCCCAGGAGGGCTGGATCGGCAGCAGGGGGACTCCATGGGATGCCAGGCACGTCCCCCAATCGCCAGCGAGCCGGTAAGCGCATAGGACAGCGTCGACGTGCTATGCCACCCGCCGGCATTTAGAGCCAAGTCCTCAAGGATGGGATGCATTTTACTGTTGAAACACTAATGTGTTCACTGATGTCTCCAAAATATAACAACCCCTATAAAACTTGTAAAGAGTCAAATATAAAGCTTGCATTTCAGTGTGTGTACACACACTTGCCAGACTGGTTACGTTGCCTTTAAGACCATGAGGTAGCCTAGGAATGAAAATTAGCCTCATGATGGCATACCATTTGCAAAAGTAGACAACCCAAAGTATTAGACTGGATATACCCCTTTTGTAATACCTTGGGTTGTCTGCATTTTTGCAAATGGTATGTGATCATACGGTCTCAAAGGCAACATAACAAATCTGGCAAATTTCAGTATGTACAGAGGTGGGTTGGCACTTGCCCCCCTAAATCCAGTGGCAGATCCAGGGGGAATGGGGCAATTATCACCCTCTCCCCTGCAGGGCCAGTGCTATTAAACTTTGTGCCCTTAGGCTTGAAGTCCAAGGCCTAACTAGAAACCACGGGGCCCCATGCGAAAATAGCCCTGGGCTCCCCCCTAGCCACTCCATGTGTCACATTCACACCCCCAGCCACTCAATGTGTTTAATTCACACCCACAACGTATGTGGCATGGTTGAGGGGGAATAGTATAATAGTGGGTCTTGTCACAACCTTTGCTCGCACTATGTTGCCTGCATGTCCTCCTCATAAGTCCATTAACTGGTTCCTGAACCTCACTTATGTTTTCCTTGCATTTGGTATATAAATCTACACTAAACACCGACTACCTCCCTGGCTCATTAACTACAAAGAAACCACAGAATTAAGTGCTCTCTCTGTGTGACCGCCGTTCGCATAACCAAACGCCACATTCTGGAGAAAACGGCCATCATCTCACACAAATGCAGGCAGCGGGACTTTATTGACGAGTGTTACAAAGCTGAAAAGAGACTTGCATCCATCAAGTTCAGCCTTCCTCACATTTGTTTTTTTGCTGTATATCCAAAAGAAGGCAAAAAACCCAGTTTGAAGCACAATGTTGCCACAAGTAAGGAAAAAAAATTCCTTCTTGACCCCAGAATGGCAGTCCGATTTATCCTTGGATCAAGCAGTAATTACCATACATTGAAAGATTATATCCTTGAATATTCTGTTTTTGCAAGTATGCATCTAGAAGCTGTTTGAACATCTGTATGGACTCTGATAAAACCACTTCTTCAGGCAGAGAATTCCGCATCCTTATTGTTCTTACAGTTAAAAAACCTTTCCTTTGCCTTAGACGAAATCTTCTTTCTTCCAGTCTAAACGCATGACCTCGTGTCCTATGTAAAGTCCGGTTTGTGACTAGATTTCCACACAATGGTTTGTATTGGCCCCGAATATATTTGTATAATGTTATCATATCCCCTCTCAGGCGACGTTTTTCTAAACTAAATAGGTTTAAATTTGTTAACCTTTCTTCATAGCCGATATGTTCCATTCCTTTTGTTAATTTTGTCGCACGCCTCTGCACTTTTTCTAGTGCCAAAATATCCTTCTTTAGAACAGGTGTCCAAAATTGCACAGCATATTCAATATGTGGTCTTACCAGTGATTTATAAGAAGGGAAAATGATATTCTCGTCCCGAGAATGAATGCCCTTTTTCATGCATGACAATACCTTACTGGTATGGGCCACTGCTGATTGACATTGCACATTGTTGCATAGTTTGTTGTCCATAACAATTTCCAAATCCTTTTCGTGTGTAGTTATCCCTGATTCGCTTCCATTAAGGGTATACGTTGCTTGTGTATTCTTTACGCCGAAGTGCATAACTTTGTATTTTTCAACATTAAATTTCATCTGCCATTTGAGTGCCCAGTCCCCCAGTCTATCTAAATCCCTCTGCAGCAAAGTAATATCTTGCTCACATTGTATTGTTTACAAAGTTTGGTGTCATCTGCAAACACTGAAACATGACTTTCAATGCGGTCTTCAAGATCATTTATAAACATGTTAAATAGAAGGGGTCCCAGAACAGACCCCTGAGGGACACCACTTGCCACCTCTGTCCAGCTTGAAAATTTACCATTAATGACAACTCTTTGTACTCTGTTTTTAAGCCAATGTTCTACCCAAGAACAAGCATTTTCATCTAGACCGATTTCCTTGAGTTTGAACACTAATCTATTGTGTGGAACTGTATCAAATGCCTTGGCAAAATCCAAATAGATCACATCCACGGCAACACCCTGATCTATACTTCTACTTACTTCTTCGTAGAACGCAATAAAGTTAGTTTGACACGACCTGTGCTTCATAAAATCGTGCTGATTTTTGCTGATAACCATGTTCTTCTCAAGGAATTCTGGAACTCTAGGTTGGACACTCTACCGCGCGAACACTAGGGGAACGCTGTTCGGAAGGTTTGTTCATACGATCAAACACTACCTATGAGTCAGGGGAACCATTTGTCTTTTTGGAACTCCCGTAATTGACCGACCGCTACCACTAAAACAATGGAACTGATTTGGGCAGAAGCATCGTGAGCGGTCGGTCAAACGTTTACCCCGGTGGTGATTCGACTGTATTCGTGGGATCTGAGCGCTATTTGGACTATGAGGCTATCTGGGGATATCATTTGTGGGGGTTCCTATATGTTTATTATGTATTTATGTGTTTTAATATTTTGTCATTTATGCCTAGTCATGCTGACACTGGAATTTGTGGGAGTGTTCTGTGGTGGGACCGCTGCCTGTTCGTGAATTGCTGTGTTATATTCTGTGTGTTTACCTGTACTTTTCGTAATGAGGTGTCAAAACCACAAACCGCAGGGGAAGCCTCAGAGCTTGCCTCCCCTGGGTGGTGGCCTATTTGTTTTACGGACACCATCTAGGGGGAGCAAATACAGACACAAAACATACAGTTGCAAGAAAAAGTATGTGTACCCTTTGGAATGATATGGATTTCTGCACAAATTGGTCATAAAATGTGATCTGATCATCATCTAAGTCACAACAATAGACAATCACAGTCTGCTTAAACTAAGTGTTTACATGGCAACATTTCATTCTTTGTGTGTTATTAGTTTAAGCAGACTGTGATGGGCTATTGTTATGAATTGGATGATGATCAGATCACATTTTATGACCAATTTGTGCAGAAAGCCATATCATTCCAAAGGGTTCACATACTTTTTCTTGCAACTGTATATACACACAGACAACGACAGAGAGGAACGTACACAGACAGACAGACAGATAGGAGGGTGACTAAACCATAGTGCATGTGTGTCTGCCTATTTCCTACCTTTTAGGGGACTTCCCTGGGGTTCAGTGGCTGACTCAGGCTGATGGGAGTCCGAGTTCCCACTCGGACTCCCTCCTCCTTCTCTCGCATGGCTCGGTGGTTGCTGGGAGGAAGTAACCTGGGCTGTCACTTCCTCCCAGCGTCTGACCTCATCACAGGAGGTCTGGTTGTGCTGTTAAAGCACCACAGCGCTGACCAGGCCCCTGAAAACACATGCATTGGTTGGCAGCATGGGCCCCTGAACACGCGGCCCCAGCAGTTGTACCTCGTGCACTGTTGTTGCATTACATGGCCAGTGGACAGACTCAGTCTGTCTCCATATAGATCTGCTTATATTTATAAGCATCTATCCACACGTTTAGTGCATTGTGCTTCTCATTTGCCGTCACGGTTAAGGGATATTGTGGTCCTAGCAGTGGGGAATACGGTGGAAGCATGTTCTGTTCTGTCCAGTTATGTTCTCTTTTGATGCTGTATGCACAGTATCACCTTGTGTTGGGAATGGGGTATACCAATTAATATCATGCAAAACCGATAGATAAAATATTATTAATGTGACTCTTCTGGGTGCCCTGTCATTGAATTATTATTGGTAAAATCCCTTCAAACCCCCCCCCCAACTGGAAGCACCAGCCTTCCTACAATCCCTAGGCCTGTGCAGGAAAAAGGAAAAGGGATGCAGCTAAAAACTAAAAAAAGGAAAACAAACACATAGTGATGTACAGTAAGATTAAATAACACACTGCAATGATAGTTGCACTCACAAGATGTAAATGAAATGTGCGCCTTGAAATCCACTAAGGGATTTTGTTGGACCGCTTCCACTGGAGGATGGTGGATAGTAAGCAGACTCAAATGGCTCAAGATACAGTCAGGAACCAAATATTGGAAAAAAGAGATTTATTTTATACTTTATTGGGCAATTGTGCCTAAATAAAATAAAATCTAACGTGTTTCGTCCAGCGCACTGGACTTCAGAGATAAAAGCAAGTTTGACAATGGTACATGGAACAAACATGCATACAAAACACCCTCCAGTCCCATTAAATACGTAATTGTAGAAAAAGTTGATTGAAGATCAATCGGGTGTGCCTGGACATCAGAGGGCTTTCATTGGTGGGCAGAGCGGTGGACCGGTCTCCATTGGATCTGTTGATAACACCAGCTGGCATGTATAATTGCCGGTGTAAATTCTCGCGGGTTTCTCCGGCTTGTGTTCCACCGGGCCGTGTGTGCGTTCCACCTCCTCCTTCCGGTATTGCGCATCACTTCCAGTTCCGGTTGGAACGTCCTGAACGTCTCTGCGTTCCAACTGTGGATTTATAAGCATTTCATAGCGAGCAATTGATGCTCAGAAGGTGATAATATTGCAAGTATGAAAAAATTAAATTTAAAAAAGAAAATTAATAACATATGTACCATAACAATATATGTGTATTTCATATCAAGAAAAATAATGAATTACATAAAAATAAAATATAATCAAGAAAAGGAACCATGCATCTCTCGTCACAAAGGTTTTAATAAAGATATGTTTTTTTTTTAATGTTATTTCATATGTATTTATGTAATGTGTCATTCACACAAAAAAGTGAATATTTCCACTTAATGGCAATACTAAATTATTTATTTATATTACCTTCTATCAAAGATTCCCTATTAATGGGGAAAATGTAATATTCAAACAAGTGATATAAATTAAACATATAATTATTCAGATTTTAATAGAAAAAAAGAACCTAGGCCTGCCAGAGGAGAAGTCACTGCCACCAGGCCACTCAGCCTGCAATGTAGCAGACCACAGGCATGCGCAGCCTATGTGCACCCTAAAGCACAAACACACGCCGCATGTATGTGCATATATATATATATATATATATATATACACACACAAATTTTTTTTTAATTAAAAAATGTCCACCCAGCCTCCCTATCTGGTGAGCTGGCGTGGACATGTTCCTGGGGTCCAGTGGGTCGGGCGCCTGTCTCCATATCAGACGCGGCGAGGGAGCTGTGTCCTCTCTGCTCCCTCTAGCCGCACGGGCTGTCTGTTGTAACTGGGAGCCGGAATATGACGTCATATTCTGGTTCTCGGCATCAGCAGACGGCTCACGGCGAGAGGGAGCAGAGTGGACACAGCTCCCTTGCCACGTCTGATATGGAGACAGGCGCCGGGGGGGTCCATCACCTCCCCCCCCCCCAATGACAGGGGGAACATGGGGGGGGGGGGAGTGCATTTGGGGGTGGCAGAATGCATGCAGGAACAGCGGGAACAATGTTTCTGCAGGACTCACAGGCGTGCCGCGAGGATTAGGGTGTGGGTGGCAGGTCGGCACAAACGGGGTGATGTCTGCTACATAGGCATGCGCACGGGGTGTGCTCGGTGCGCATGCCTATGTAGCAGACATCACCCCGTGCGCATGCCTATGTAGCAGACATCACCCCGTTTGTGCCGACCTGCCACCCTGAACTCTTTGGCTACATCTACCTGTGCCCTAACTTGCACATAACACTCCATAATATTCAGTTTTTAAAAAATCTTTTTGCTTGATGTTAATTGGCGCTGTAGGCCTCAGATATAGGTATAAGATTTCCCTGTCCCCCTTCCCTCCCTCATCACACAGAGTGCGCAAGCGGTACTCCTGTACTATTTCAGCCAACCTCTGCTCGCCCCGCGTACGGCCACGGCCTCCTGTTTCAGCTCCCCAGCCACAGAAGGCTGCACATCCACAAGCGCCTTACTAGAGCCTATGTTTTAGGGTGCTGCGACAGGGCCAGATTAACATAGGGGCTGATGGAGCTGCAGCTCCAGGCCCAGGCCCATTTAAAAAAATAAAATAAAAAACACTACTCTTAGGTTTGCCACCTGACTGGTATTTTACCGGCACAGACGGTATTTGAGGCTGCCTGGCCGTGCCAGTATTGCAGTGATATTGGCGATACAAATGCAGATATTTTTCTCAGTATAAACAGAGATTACTCTGCAATACCAGCACCAGCCAGTAGGGGTCACTGTGTGTGAAGAGAGGCAGGGATAGGAAGTTAGAGCATATCTCTCTCTACTCACTAATCCGCAGGGAAGCAGCTACACAGCACAGAGAGTTCAGACAAAAGCTCCCAGCCTGCAGAGACAGCCTACAGCTCAGGGAAGTGAGAGATGAGGGGAAAGGTGACGCTGAGACACATGGGGACGCTGTGAAACAGTGTCTAGTGTCTCAGTGTCCCCATGTCTCCCAGTGTCCCCAAATGTCTGTGTCCCCATGTCTCCCAGCCAGTGTCTCTAGTGTCTGTGTCCCCATGTCTCCCAATGTACCTGTGTCCCCATGTCTCCTAGTGTCCCCCATGTCTCCCACTGTTCCCATGTCTGTCCACAAGTGCCCCCCATGTCTCCCAGTGTCACAGTGTCCCTATACCACCCAGCCAGTGTCCCTAGTGTCTATGTCCCCATGTCTCGCAGTGTGCCCTAGTCTCTCAGTATCCCAAGTGTCTTAGTGTCCCCATTTCTCTGTGTCTACGTGTCTCTAGTGACATGGGGACACACTGGGAGACTAGGGGACTTGGCGACATGGCGACACTGACACTGTGATACATAGGGGCACTGATGCCAGGCTGGCCTTTCAATTCTTTGGACAGACATCCCATGGTGGGGACTGAGCATGGTGGGCACTAAGCATAGTGGGGACTGAGCATGGGGCACTGGACACTGAGCATGGTGGGGACTGAGCACAGTTCTGGTCACAGGATTCGATTCAGCGGCCCACCCTTTTACCCCGCCCATTGACTTCCTGCTTCACTGGACACTGCTGTTAGGGCGTATGGATTTACTTGAAAGATCCTTTGAGTTTCTCTCCAACACCATCTCCATCAGATACATGACACTTGAGAGATATGACTGTTTTAGTGTCTTTGGTCGATACGATTTTGTAAATAGGCCCCATCGTAATTATCAGCACCAGGCCCACTGGGCTCTTAATCTGGCCCTGGCTGCGACTATTAGCCACAACGCGCATGAATCCCCTCACTAGCACCCCCCAAGTTCTACGCTCAATAGCTACCTATAGGAGAATCTGGGTGTCTTAGCCCATAACCATAAAAATGCGTAGGTTCAGCTAGGTGATGTGTGTCCAGCTCCAATGAACAAACTGGTTATCTGCTATTCAGATGAAAAGTTGTATTCTTTGCAAAAACCTCGCAAAAATTAAGAATTAAAAAAAAAAATGGCAGAAGCCAAAAAATTGAATGACAATGGTAAGTTTCTTTTTTTTTGTTTGTTTGTTTGGGTTTTTTTTTGTAGAGTGGGAGAAGGGTTATTTTTTTGTTTACTTGTATTGAAAGTCCATTTGTCTCATTTGCAATATCAGCATGGCCATACTGAAAATGGGCAATCTGAAGCGGCATTTCAGAACAGTGCACAAAAACAGAGACAGGTTTCCCTGCTTAAACAGCCCTACGCATTCATACAGTGCAGGAATTGAAGAGTCAGCTTGCAGCAGGGTTACGAGTCCCAACACAAAGGTTAAGGCGGCAACCATCGCATCATATCGAGTCAGTCATGTTCTTGCTAAACATAAAAAGTCTTTCAAGGATGGCAAAGTTGTGATAGAAGCGTTCGTTGAGGCTGCAGATGCACTCTTTGGTGATTTTAAGAACAAAACAGATTGTTGCTGCTATTAAGGACATGCAATTATCCTGGAATTCTGTGACACAGGGATTTAAGGTGATGGCAGTAAATGTGGAGTAGCAATTGAAGAAGGGCATTGATGCATGTGAGTGTTTTTCCCTCTAGTTCGATGAGTCGACTAATATGGTGGATGTGGCTCACTTGTGTGTTTTTATCAGAATGGTTTTTGACGACATTAGTGCCAAAGAAGAGGTTTTCAATGCTTTCATGGACTTTAACAAGAGCCAAGTGCCTCTTTTGAAGCTCATCTCCATCACAACTGATGGTGCTCCAGCAATGGTAGGCCACATTAGTGGGTCATTGCATTTTGCAAACAAAGTGAATCTTTCCTGGACATCCTTCATTATCATTGCATTATTCATCAGCAACAGGGCCGGATTAACATAGTGGTTGATGGAGCTGCAGCTCGAGGCCTAGGTCCATGGAATAGGCCCATTTAAAAAAAAATATATATATATATTTTTTACACACACTACTCTTAGGTTTGCCACCTGACTGGTATTTTAAGGCACAGCCGGTATTTGAGGCTGCTTGGGCATGACGGTATTGCAGTAATACCGGCATTACAAATGCAAATATTTTTCTCAGTATAAATGGAGATTACTCTGTAATACCAGCACCGGTCAGTAGGGGTCACTGTGTGTGGAGAGAGACAGGGATAGAAAGTTACAGCATATCCCTCCCTGCCTCTCTCTACTCACTGATCAGTGGGGGAGCAGCTACACAGAGTTCAGACAGCAGCTCCCAGCCTGCAGAGACTGACTACAGCTATGGGAAGTGAAGGATGGGGGGATAAGGCAGCAGGGAGACATGGGGACACTGAGACACTAGGGAAAACATGGGGACACAGACACTAGGGGACACTTGGAGTTGTGGGGACACTGAGACACTGTGAGACATGAGGATGCTGAGACACATGGGGACGCTGGGAGACATAGGGAGACACATTGGGACACGGAGACACTAGGGACACAATGTCTCCATGATCACCATGTCTCCCAGCCAGTGTCCCTAGTGTCTCAATGTCCCCATGGCTCCCACTGTCCCCTAGTCTCACAGTGTCCCCATGTCTCACAGTGTCCCAAATGTCTGTGTTCCCATGTCTCCCACTGTCCCTATGTCTCCCAGCCAGTGTCCCTAGTGTCTCTGTGTCCCCATGTCTCTGTGTCCCTAGTGTCTGTGACCCCATTTCTCCCAGTGTCCCCACATGTCTGTGTCCCCACATGTCTGTGTCCCCATGTCTGTATCCACAACTGCCCTCATGTCTCCCAGTGTCGCCATGTCTCACTGTGTCCTCTAGTATCCTAGTGACACGGGACACACTGACATGGGGACACGGGGAGACTAGGGGACTGGGCGACATGGGGACACTGACTCTGTGATACATAGGGACACTGACACTTTGGACAGACATGCCCCCTTTTTGGGCATGTTCGCCCTTTTGGCAGTTCTGGTCACGTGATTTGCGTCAGTGGCCCATCCTTTTCCCCCCGCCCATTGACTTCCTGTTTCACTGGACACTGCTGTTAGGGGGTATGGATTTAAGAGATTAGCATAGAGTATGTGTTCTCTTATAGCTGCATCCTTTGAGTTTCCCTCCAACACTAACTCCATCAGATACATGACGGTTGAGAGGTATGACTGTTTTA